TCCCCGCCACGCCCCGAGCTGTCCTGAGGCATGCGCTACTGGGCAGTTCCGAGAAAGCGAACGCCGCAAGAATGGCATCTCCCTGGAACAACAGGTTGGAAGGGGGAGGGGAGGTAGTTTCTTCTTTTGCCATTGCCGAACCCCCCGACCGCTGACGCCAGTACGAATGTAAGGGGTTGTAATGTTATCTTCTGGTAGAAGATCCGCAATCAGAATGACTCCGACCGGAAAGGAGTGCCAATTCTTTCGAGCTTCCCTGCGTTATTGTTTGCCTTCTGTGCGAAAGTCTCTTTTCGAATTGCTCCCGGTTGGCATGTTGGCAGGGCGTCGTCTTAATAACGTCACGTAACGCGTAACGGAAACGCACAAATCGGAAATTAACAATGCAATTTGAAAGCGTTATCGGAGCGTTTTCAGAATTGTGGCAGCGTTCTCTAGGAGAACACACTGAAAATTTTTCCAAAACGCTTCGAAAACGCATTATAATTGCAATGTTCATTTTCTGCTTTACATGTATTCTTAAAATTGACGTTGTGATGCCCTGCATGCTCGTGATCCGCGGTCCCGCGGCGTGCTCCGAGTTTCTCTGTCCTCGTGGCATGCATGTGCGTGCGTGAGCGCGCTCGGTCGCGGGCGAGCGCGGGTCCGAACTGCCAGGTCCGCGCAATAAGAAAGTGCTGATGACGTCTTCCCGACGCGTCTCGACGACGTCCTCTCTTCTTGTCCGCGTCATTTCGCCGCCTGGGTGCCGCTCGATCCTGGCAGTGTTTGTTTTGTCTTCCGAGAAGCCGTCGTGCCGTGGCCCGTTGAGCTCGAGGGCCACTAGAGCGTCGTGCTCGGCCCTGCGCGCGCCCTGCCGCCGCGGCGACGGGTGTCGGCTGTCCTGTGCGGACGCCTGCAGCGCAGCGGCCCCTCAGCGTTACACTCTCGTCCTCATAATGTACATATTGTCACGCGACTCCTCGGTCGGCCTTGTTTATTTGTGCTGGTCCCCCTCGCCCCCTCGCTCTTCTCCGCTGCCCCTCCTCGCCTTGCCTTCCTCCCCCAGCGCCCCCCCGGCCCTGCGGCTCGCATTCGCAGGTGTAACGTTGCGTGGCGCGGCGGCGCTGGTCCTCCTGCCACCACACCAACCCTTATCGTCCGCTCTCCGCCCGGCTTCCTGCCCGCCCTCCGAGACCATAGCACCAGGAGCAGCCGGGGAGCCCCGAGGCCAGTGGCTCCGGGTGCTAGCCGTCGCGCTGCCTGCGGCCCGTGGGTATGCTGAGGCGGCACACCCTGACCAGCCCCAACGCTGCGGGCCGATGTGCGAGCCGCGGGAGAAGAGCTTCGCTGTCATCGATCAGCCACGCCCGGCCACCCGCCGCCACGTCCCGGCCACGCCGCGCCGCGCCGCAGCGCAGCGCACACCGCTGCTGACTCGAATTTCTTCTCACAGTCCGTCACAGTCCTACCCTAACGCTATGGGCCCCGGCCGCGGTGCGGGACGCATTGCACGCCGACTCGCGGCCCGGTCAACGCTCCCCGGCGAAAACAAGACGTTGGGTCGCCCACCCTACCTCCGCGTGCTCCGGTAGCGGCAGCACCCCGGTGCGGTGACGACGACGTCTCACTCGGGGCGTGCCCCCAACCCCCATCGTCTTGCACAAGCCGGAGCAAAGCACGTGCTCCGAACACTTTTCTCCTTTCTGGGCGCGCGGGGCGCTCATTCTCCGGGAGCAGTGGCGCGGGGGCAGCGATGACCCGCACCCAGCGCGGGCCGGGGGGCGCGGGGCGGGCGGCACCTCTGCAGGGGGCATGAACTGGGGCCGGGGTGATGTCAGAGGTGCAGGCCCCGGTGTATTGCACCGCTCGCAGGTCCCCGGCCCGGCACCGTGTTTGTGTGACCGTCACGTCCCAGGGTCGCCTGACCGGGCCTCAAGGCTGAGCACGCGGCTCTCGGTGTCCTGACGGGCCTCCCTGACCGCGGGGCGTGCTGCCTGCCGTGGAGACGTTGGCCGTCCAAAGTGGTCAGCCTCTTCGTCCACGGTACGGCGCCGCTGGACGTGTGTCCGAACTGTTCTGTTGTACCTTGTACCGGCTGATGAGTGTCCGGGTTTGTGCGCCCTCCATCTCTGCTAGGCAACCCGCACGCGCGCAAGCGTGCGGTACAGCCTAGCTGTCGGGGGTCAGCCTCCCGCGGCGGGTACTAGGATCCCATGTGAGCTAACGGTGCGTCCTTTTGGAAGTGATCGGGACCGTTTGACATCGTTGCCGCCACGCCGCCGGTAGTCAACGCCCCCCCGCGGCGCTACGCGGTGCTACGTGGCGCCCGGCGCGTGCCGGCGAGCATGGGGCGCCCGCGTGGCTCCGCGCCGCGTGCGCAGCAAGGCCGCGGTGCGAAGCGTTCACCCCGGGCCCCACCTGCACCGCCAGGCCGACGCCCTCATTTGCCGTCTCTCAGCGGGTTGGAGTACTGGCGGGCTGGCTACGCTGGGAGACTCCCGACCGACACCACTTTCTTTCCGTCTCGCCTAGCAGTGGGGTGGCTGCACTCATTTCCCAACCCGATCCCATTGCTGAGCTGACTGAGCCCCGTTTTCAGGTATCGGCCTGAACCAAAACAAAGTCCAGACTCGATATCGCTGCTAATTCCATGCAGTCAGCGGTTTTCTTTTTCCGGAACGGCAGAGCCTTTCGAATTCCATGAATGGCAGGGTCGGGTCGGCCCGGGCCTCGCAGGCAGGCCGCGGCGGACGGATGACAACAGGGGAGCAGACGGTCTCCGGTGGGGCCCAGCGCTGCCCCGGCGCGCCCCGCGGAGCACCGCCCCGCCGTGCCCTGCGGCGGGCTCGACCCGCCCGTCTATGTCTGCGGGGCCTGCGTCTGACGGACCGCCTCCCGCCGAACGATTCGTCATGTCGATCGATGATGAAACCTCGCCGAATGCGATCGACAATATCTTGGTGCTTTGCGGGATGGAGTCCGAGGGGTGGTCAGCCTGCTCCAGCTGAGTGACGGGGCGGGGCGGGGTGCTCGGCGGGGCTGTGCCGTGTCGAGGCGGTGACCGACCGCGCCTGTTTTGCAAACATGGGTGTACGCGGCCGGCGCCTGCCCTGCCCCGCCGTGCCCTGCCGTGCCCTGCCTCCACTCTGCCATGTGGGCTTAACTACTAGGAGGCAGGCGGACGCTGCCAGTCCGTCAGTCCCCGCCCGGTAGTCGCGAACGCTGGTCGCCCGCTGATCCGCCGCCCCACCCCGCCCCGCCGCGCCCCTCAAAAGTGGGTCAAACGTCCACCCCCAGACTCCCTGCTCGGCCCGGCCCGCCGCGCCCCGCCCTGCCGTACCCGCCACCGCAGCTGCGCCCAAATCGCTCAGCGAGCCCCACACTTCGCGACTCGCCGCCGCGCAGGTCGGACGGACGCGCTTCCCGCCCCGCCAAACCTGTCGTGTCGTTATCGTCGCCACCGAGCCGCGCCACGCCACGCCAGGAGACACGCGGGACACGCGAGCACCAGCAGCCCCCCGCACTCAGCAGCAGCGCCAGTAGCGTCAGGTGAGTCTGGCTGGACAGCTTTATCTGTCGGGCGCCACCCCGCCCCGCCCGGGCTACCTGTCAGCAGCCCTTTTCTCCTTGGGGGGGCCTCATCCCGGACCCTGAGCACGCTCGGTGGAATGGATGGTGTCGTCTCCTGCCTGCCTCCTGCATCTCGACGCGTGTCAATATCAGTGCTCTTATGGCCAAGAGAGCTGCAGATTTCCCGGTCGGGCCCGTGACATGGTAACAGCAGGGCCCCGGTCTCTCGGTCCGCGAGGAGCCTCGCGTCGCCCGCCGCCCGATAAGGGTTTTGGTCGCGGTCAGGGAACGTGGACGCGGCCGCCGGTGGTCTGGACACGGCCCGCGAGGCGGAGCACCTCATGACCGCCGCGCCAGCCGTCGCCGCCGCGGACCCCCGTCCCGGATGCCGGAGGGGGCAGAGGTCGATATTTCCTCATCATTACGTGTGAATCTCGCCATCGCTCGGGTCGGTGACCTGGCCTCTGGATTCTGCCCGCGCCGTCTGGCCACTCCTACTGCCCCCCGGAAGCAGCGGTTTGGCGCGGCGGCGATCTCGACCGCCTTTGCCCAGCTCGGCCTGTGCAGGTGTCTGTGGGCGCGGCGGGGCGCGGCGGGGGCTGCGGACCGTGCTGCTCCGCCGCCCTCGCCGCGCACGTGTCTCCGCTGCGTCTCGCCTCCTTGCTTATCGCCTGCGACCCATGTCCCCCGTGTCCTGCAAGGAAACACACTACACTGCCGGGCCCAGGGCCGGGCCGAGGCGGGTCGGGCCGGGCGCCGTGCGGGTGTCACTGGCCCGGGACATGGGGGTCGTCCTGGCCGTGTCCCGCCGGCCGCCAGCCACGTGTGCCGGTATGCCGCGTGCACGTGCCGCGCGAGGACCGTCTCGCACCACCTCTTCGCCTCGTGCGGACTCATCGGCGCGGTGTGTGGTGGACCCCCGCATGCCGACCTGTCGTGAGTCGCCGCGTGACGGGGCGGCGAGCGTGCGCGCGGCGCGTGCGCGTGAGCCGCGTGACGGGGCGGCGGGCGTGCAGGGGGTGCGTGGCGTCATTCGCTCGCCATGCCATGTTTACTACGCCCCGGCCGCTCGTCGCCAAAGCTGCTGCGCTGTCCTATTGAATCACGGCCCACTGCCCACTGACTCACTCGTCGTAGTCTCGTAGTTGCGTCCGCCCGCCGGCTGGAGGGGTGCTGACGGGAGCTAGGGTGGGCCTTCTCCTCCGATAACTGCAACACCTTTGTCTATGCGGAAGAAAATCGTCATGATCACGACTTTTTCTGCAAGCGCGTCGCCTTTCATATTGGCACGCCGGGACACGGACGTGCGCGATCAAGTGTGAATCACGCGTGTTGTGTCGTCACCCCGACGGCGATGGTGGAAACTTAGCCTATCGGGGAGAGAGAAACGCTCGAGGAGGGGGAGCGACGGGACCACCTGTTGGCCGGAGTCGCGGACGCGTAGGCCCTTCCACGCCCCGCCCTCCCCGCCAATGACTGTGGCTCCACTGTCCTGCCCGCCCGTCCTGCCCACCTTGCGTCCTCGCGGAGGGGGGCTCTCCTCGCCGCGACGCTCCTGCGAGCCCGCGGCCCGCGGTCTCGACCCGCGCCCGGGCTCGGCGGTCCGTCGTCACAGCGGCAACGCCGCGCCCCCTACCACACCGCCGCCGGCCGAGCCCGGGCGCGGCTACTGGCAGCAACAAGCCGCACGCTTTCACCATGCGGTCCTGTGGCGCAACGGATAACGCGTCTGACTACGGATCAGAAGATTCCAGGTTCGAATCCTGGCAGGATCGGTCTCTTTTTTTCGTGTTTATTTTTACTTTAGCAACTCGATGGGAACTTTCATGGGTGCTACACAGTCTTGCGCTTGCGCTGCGTCAGTCGTCATCCGCGTGGCACTAGGTTCGCGCAAAACGTATCAGACTCGGCGGCCGTGCGGTCGCGCCAGGTAAAAACGGTAGTCATTAAAAATCTATCAGCATATCACGACCGCTCAGTCAGCGATTGCCCTCGGTCAAAGCCCCACACGGCACGGCGCACGCACACCGAGTGTAGCTCGTAGAAAAGAAGTGCGGCCTCCACGAGGAAAATCAGTTCACCGCGCCCGCTTGACCAAGAATCAATCGTGAAACCTGAGCATGTGCAACACATGTGACACATTATGAAACGACTGATTTTATTCAGATTGCAGTCGAGTTCAGTATTTTCGAAGGTAGCCGAAATGGAGAGAGATCTTTGGACTCCGCGAAATTCCTGACATATCTCGTTGTTGCGACTCAAACAATTTACGATAACTGCTGACCTTGTGCGGTCTTATTCTGATACTCGTCGCGGGCTTTCTTAAAACAACACGGGGGCAACCTGAGCTTCCCTTAAAAAATAAAAAAGAAAGGGGATATCTTTGCATGTATCATTTTTGTGGCGAGGGAGTTTTAGATCCAAAGGTCGATGTGTGTCGTTTGGCTAATTATTTTTGGTGGGCGGCCGCGCCGGGTGGGCTGCGCCTGCAGTGCAGGGGCGTTGTGTTAAGCGTCGCGGCGCCTGGTGAGTGTCTCCCTGCAGGACACCCGCCGCGCCGTGTCCGCCACTGATAACGGGGACACGCCCGAAAATGCGCAGGCCGCGGGCAGTCGAGGAAAAAAAACACAACAAAAAGCGGGACTTGTTCATTTTTAGTCGCTCTTGCGTTCACGAAGCTCTCAAGAAGAGCGGTGTGACGCAAGGTCAGTGAGTGTCGTCGTCAGAAGCTGTTCCTTTTCACAGAGCGCTTCGTGAGGACGGCCCTCGCGGCCGCGTTGCGTGACAGTGTGGCAGACTGTGAGGTGGACTCGTTACCTTCCTCGCGATAGTTCTGGTCGAGCAAGTTGCCTATCTGCCGGGCGGGGGACCCGCGACAGGGACATCCGCCGCGCCGCGCTCCGACCCCAAGCAGGCCGTTTGTTATTGGGGCCGCCGGGCGCCGAGTTGCCTGCACTTCCTCCCCGTGTCATGTTCCTGTCCGAGCGAAAGCGCGTTGTTGACGATAAACGATCTTTTTCCGTTTGCTTACAGTCCCAACGCTTACCGGGCCATGCAGTACTTCAACCCGGATCAGGCGCACAACACACCGACGCAGTTATGGAGCACGACAGGTAAACAGGGGCGCTTTTGTGACCACCGCGGGTGCCGACAGGAAGCACTGGAAGCTAGAAGCCTGCTGGTACCCAAGTTAGGTCCGGAATGGACGGTACTGACGGTTTATTTTGATTTTTGCAGCGGACGACTACAGCTCCCTGTCGAGCACCAAGACCCACACGACGCTGCCCGCCTTCAACAGCCAGCGCTTCGGCACGTCCGCGCTCGTCACCTCTCCGCTGGCCTCGCGCAGCAGCCCGTCCTCCTACAGCCCGCCGAGCTCGGCGTCGTACCTGGGGGCGGCCGCGGCGGGTGGCGTGGGCACGTCGGCGTCCCCGGAGGGGCTGTGGACCACCACCTACACGGACCCCAGCATGTACTCGGCCGGGCCCACCAGCCCCCGGCGCGCGCCACTCTCCAACAACCCCGCGTCGGCGTCCCTGTCAGCCAGTGAGTACACCATACTACGACCACCCTGCTTCGACTACGACTTATTGTACCTGTGTAATAGTATGTGATCAGGTGCTACTACTTGCAAAGTCCACAAAATTCGCTGCCAAAAGTTTAAATGGGAACCAAACCGCAAACCCCGAGAAGGGACCAAGAAAAGGCGCACACTTGTTTCGCGTTTGTGAGAACGGAACCTGATCCTTTCTTCCGAACCGCGTGAGGGGCGGGGGCGAAGGCAAGAGCCTTGTGGCGAGGCGGGACGGGGCGGAGCGGGCCGGGGCGGGTCGGTGACTTCAACCCCATAGCACACCCGGGACCTGGGACCGGGACCTGACGGAGAGAGAGAGGGGGGGGGGGGGGGGGGGGGGGGGTAATGGCCCGAGCCGACTTGGCCGTTATGGCCAGACGTTCTTCCGAGGAAAACGCACTCCGCATGTGTATTTAAGATGACAGGGCCTATTAAAACTATTTTTGCCTCGTGATTTTCGCGTGGTTTTTTTTTTTTGGGGGGGGGGGAGCTAGTGCGTCTTTACGCCTACGCGAACATACGCCGGGGGCGCGGCCACCGCACCGCTCAGCACCGCAGACGACGGGCGTAGCAGCGTAGCGTGGTCCGATTTGTGTCTGCAGCTTTGATGCTCGATTGATATCGCGTTTCTGGAAAGTTTGTCTGGCCGACCGGGCTCGGCTGGGCTTGCCGCCGCACGGCGGCGGTTCACCGTGCTAATCGCAGTCGCTGTCCAGCAGCGCTGTACACTGATCAGCGGGAAGCGCGGCGAGGTGAGAGAGAGCGAGAGGGATAGGGGGGGGGGGCACGCGCGTGCCCTATCTGGGGCGGGGACGGACTGGAATGTCAACAAGTTACCGCGGCCCCCAAGAGGACCGCTCGTCCGCACCACCCCGACAGACTCTCCGCTCCGTGCTCTCCGCGGCCAGCCGCACACCACCACGCTGTCATTCGTTGCGGGCCTGGCGGAGGTGACGGGCCTCACGGTGGGAAAGGCGCCGCCCCCGCGGCTGCCCCCTCCCCCCGCCTCCGCGAACATCGCCGTGGGTGCCGAGGGGAGCGGCCGAACGTAACGTCCCGTGGGAGCGGAGAGACAGCGGCCTGCAGAGCAAAGTGTTAAAGCCCGGCACCTGCTAGCGATTATGGGGGCGCGGGGCGGTGCGGGGCGGCGGGGCGGGCACCACTCATTCTAATGGCTCGTTTGACAGATTTATTGGTGACGGCGTGAAATCCAGGGGCGAGTAGGGGGCGCCCTTTGGGCCTAGGGGCTTGTTCGAGTCAGCTGACACACACTCACACACGCACACTCACACAGGGGCACGAACTCTTGGAAATTATTTCTGTTCGATTTCTGACAGTTTGTGTGGCCTTGGCCGCAGCCAGGTGGTCGCAGTTCGTCAGGCCGCGCGACTTCTTTACTTTAATGGGTGTGGAGGTTTTTTTCACCCCTTCTTCGATGTGTTGTGCGGGGGGGATTTACGAGCGTCGGGTCGGGTCAAAATCCTCGTTCAGGTGCCTGCAACAAAATAAGACACAAATGTTGCAAGTTTTAAACGGAAGCTAACGCCGTCGTTCCATCCATCGCATAAAGAAGCAATTCCCCATATAGTCTGGAAAACAACGTCTTTATGGTGACGCGTTATGACTGCTGACGCTACCACAGTTAGCTTTGCGTCAACTCGGCCGCGTCAGACACTCAGTCAGGCCCGAATGCTCACGACTACCGATGACGCCCTTCCTTTTTCAACTGTACGCGAACTATCTTCAACTTCGAAAAAGGCGATAATGACTTTCGTACTTCCTTTCTAATTCCGGCTAGATAGGCGCGCCGCGCTGCTCAAGCCCCTCCAATATCAGACCCAAAAATGAACTTTATATGTTCGGTTATTGCCCCCCGACCGGATAAAAAGCAGGGTAGCGATAAACTATTTTAAAAATGAGGGGGTGGGGGCTGCCTATAGGTTATTTGTACCTTGTTCTAGCCGTCAGGGCTCCCCGCAGCAGCTCCCCCTTCCTCCCCTCTCAGCAACCCCGTACTTTTTTGTGTGTTTGCTTAGGCCGGCCCCAGCGAGGGAGGCTCTTTGGAGAGGGGTGAGTTGGGGACCGATGACAAAGTTGCGTCTGATCTGCGATTCGTTGAGCTGTTATTTGGGACGCACGCAGTCTGGCCGGGGTCCGTTTCCCGGTATTATTTTTCTGTCTGTCTGGACTGCTCCGCGCGGCTCCATCTCCGTCCCCTGGCTCCGCCCGGCCCCGCCACGCCACCGCTGGAAGTGACTGTGCGTCGGGGCCGAGTCAGCCAGCCTTATCTAGCGGGACACGCGACCTTACTGATACCATTAGTTTTTCCTTCCCTCTTTCTTTCTCTCTCCCTCCCCTCCGGGCCGGGCTCCATGGCTCTGCTGTGTCGTACTGCTGCCCTGGCAAGTAGCTATACGTCGAGAGAATAAACGCTCCGGAATGCCGGCGGGTTGAGAACTTCTTCTCGCTCGTGTCGTGATGCTTCGAGGTGGGAGTAGCTCACTCCTCACTCACTCCGAGCAGGCCATACAATGATCCGGTGCCCTCCTGGGACCCCCGGGGAGCGCCCGCCCCGCCGAATGGCCACGGCGCCAGGTCTGCGCCATTTCCGGGGATCGGGAAAGGAGCGAGACCCTCGACGTCAATGCACTACCTTCTCTCACCTCAGCGACAAGAGCGGGCCGCAGTTCTGCGCGTAATTTTTATATGGCATTTTATGGTGGGGCCCGCGGGCCCTGGTGTAGTCCTGGTGGGCCCGGGTGGGCCACGCCAAGACGCAGCCGCAGGGGGCGTTGCACTGGACCGCCTGCACGGGAGAGTCTCCGCCGCCTCAGTTTGAACAGTAGAGAATAGGAATATTGCATTACGTGTCGCAGCGGCGCGCTCAAAAGTGCCGCTTGGCCCCGGG